ATACCCTGAGTTCCTTATGCAAGGGTTCCTTGTCAAGTGCCCTCACCGTAGAGGTCTCTGGTTGTTCTTGCTCGACTGCTTGCTGCAGCGCATTCTTCGCCCTCCTTCCTCCGCTACTCCCCTCCCTGTTCCCCCATTCTCCCAGGGTTCAGTTCGACTCTTCCGACTCGATTCGATTCAAATTTGACGGCTTCCGTGTCCGATGTGATTCGATGTGGGATTCCGATTTGGATTTCGGTTTCCCGATTAAGGCCTTATTGGCCTGTCGATTTCTTTCCGCCGATTCGGTTTCTCTCGACTTGGTTGGCGATTGCCGCCGATTCGATTCATGCCGATTGCCGATCATATTCATCGATTCGATTCTAGGCTCTCCTGCCCGATCGCCCGTGACAGGCAATTCGGAGGATCAAGAACGGCATAAACATAAAAGTGCGGCGATCAGCGCGGATTCCTCGAATCTTCGCGTGGCTCCCCTGGCGGCGCCGTCCCCAGCGCGCTCCGCGCGCCAGGGAGGAATTTCAAAGCAGAAGACAGAAATTCGCGCCGACCTCCGGAAGTTGTATGAAGTTCACGTCGGATGCATGTCGCTCTTCGCACGTTGACAGAAGCCCGCTTTGTCCCACAAGGCCACTTATCGATGCCCCCGACCGGAAAATACCAAACAATACCACATATTATGCCCATATTGTTTTTCAACCAAGCATGCTCGGTGAAGCTTTAGGTCCTCTTCTATGTTCCGTCCTGTGAGCGCTTCACCAGCCCGGCTCTCAACCGAGCAGCCGAGCTGGTGGTGCGCTTCTGAGAAGCGCATCACCAGCTCGGCTGTCGACGGCACCTCCCGGACCCAGCGCCTCCGCCGACCGCCTCGACGTTGCCCCAGCGCAAAGGGCACTTTGCCCCCAGCAGCCGGCCGGCCGTCTGCTTTTCTCCTCGAGGCTCGCTCGGAGGCGTGGCCGCCTCTCTGCTGGAGGGGCCTGCCTTCGGGGTTTGCGCGAGGCGCGGGCTCGAGGAGCGGATCGCGCGAGGGCAGCGAGCCCGAGGATTTGCTGGGAGTCAGCGGGGGGGGCCTATGCAGCCGACCAGGCCTGCCAGAGGGCCCTCGATCTCGACGCAGCGGCCGTTCCGCAGGGCGACGTGTGGTCGGCGCGGGGGCCGAACAGATCGGCACCCTCCATGGGTGCCTGGCTGAACTGAGGCTCCGTGGTGCGGACTGACAGTATTTCGTGTCGCCGCCGCTCCCCGCGACCCATCCGCGACCTACCCGCGACCCATTCGCAACCAGCCCGTGACCCAACCCGCGCCCAACCCGCGTACCACTCCGCGACCCAGCCACGACACACCCGCGACTCACCTGCGACCCACCCGCGACCTACCCGCGATCCGCCCTGTGAACTACCAATGCACCTACCCGAGCCCCACCACCGCTGTTACGCAGAACCAGCAGAGAGGCGCCTGTCGCGGGCTTCTTAACGTGTGCCTCCAAGCCTTGCCAACTGTTGATGACGACCCCCACTTCCCCCCACTCTTGTCCGCAAATGCGGGCGATGTGATCATATGTAGCACCCCACAGTTGCGGATAAGAATGAGGGGCCAGGGACGGGTGGGTCGCGGGTGGATCGCAGGTGGGTCGCGGGTGGGTCGCGGGGCGGGGCGCTGGCAGGACGACGACAACAGATAACAACAGGCAGAATCCGCGCCGCGTAGCTCCACTTGAGCCACGCAGCCTGGGACAGCGCGTGGCCGGTCGGCCCCCTCACTCTCAAGTATAAGCCTCGCTCGCCCAGCTCGGGCTGCAATCTTAGCATGTCCCTGTTGTCGCAGCCGCCGCCGGCTCGTGGCACCTCTTTTCCTTGCCCCTCGAGCGGCGGGCTCGTTGTGCACGGTGCCATTCGCGATTGGGAGTCCCGTCCCAGCCTGGCACCCATCACATGCCCTTCCCAGAAGAATCCGCTGTGGAGGTGGAGAAGGTGTATGAATGATCTGTTGAGGTTCTAGGGGCCCTAGATTTTTCTTGAGGGCGTGCGGATATTCCCTAGGGTTGTAGCGGTTTGTATGTGTGCTTGTTCGGTCGGCGATGCTCGGTTCTTTGGGGTTTTCTGTTTCGTTTATTTCGCTGTGCGCGACTCGTCTTAGTTGTATCCGACCCGCTGTCGACAGCCCTTCGGCGCGCCGGGTTAAGAAGTGTACTAGTGAGTGTGTGTAGCGGTCTCTGAGTGCTCGGCTGGGCGGAGACGCGCGCGCTTCTTTGCCTGCGCCAGATTTTCTACGCCCCTTTGCGGATTGCGGGGCCGCGACACCCCAAAAAGTGTGGGTGTGTGACAGAGAGAGAGAGAGAGAGCTCGTGCGTGCGAGCCCCCATGCCGCGTGACCCGGGGCTGGCCGCGCTCGATTCTTCGCTTGATTGTCTACGCCTCGCTGCCGCGCGCGTGGCCGCGTGGCGCGTGCGCGTGGATGCTCACCCGTGGATAGCTCGACTTCGCTGGGGAATCAGGTTCTGCTTCGCACCCACACAGGGCGGCTATTTTCCTGGAGCGCGCCCCGGCTGGTTACGACGTGAACTTGTTGGCAGCATCGCATCGGCGTGCCAGAGCGATATATATATATATATATATATAGAGATATCGATTTGCATATTTCGATACACATAGACATATTGACATGCATATCTATATACGTAGCACCCCGCAGATGCGGACAATAATCGGGGGCGGCGGGGGCGACGGCAGTCTGCGAGACTCTGGAGGAGCCCGCCGCAGGCGCCAAAGTTCCACACATTATTTATACACCGAGCTCGCCGTAGGCGCCGGTTTTGAACCAATGTGGGTAGATCGCGGGTTGGTCGCAAATTGGTCGCGGGCGGGTCGCGGGTGAGTCGTTGTTGGGTCGCGGTTGGTTCGTGGGGTGGGTCGAGGGTGTAGAGGGCATCAAATCCACCCCATCATAATTTACCCCGACAAGGGAAGCCGTGTAGTAAACGCACACGTGTAATGAATCGAACAGGGAAGGGTTGTTCAGTCAACGCCCAGGGCAGTTGTGTAAACGTGAATTGTCGGGTCCGGGTGGTTTTTCCTCCCTTGGGGGTCAATTGTCGGTCCAGGCCCCCATCCCCTCTTCCTGTTCGCGCCGATGGCTCGGAGGGCTCGTGTTTCTTAGATGTTATCACTCCCTGGTCCCAGGGGTCCTTAGTTTTGAATCCCTTCCTTTCAGCTTCCACCCCTGCTCGCGTTGGTTCTGTCGCATGTCAATCGAGACCTGCAATGTCTCTGGGTGGAAGTCGCCAGGGGAAGGCTGGATGTCCAGGGCCAGCTCGCATATCGTTCTTCTCCAGGAGCAGAATTTGGTTTCAGACGAAGGCTCGATGCAGGCCTCGACGCGGTCATTGAGAGCTGGCTGGAAGAGCCCATGGGAACTCGCGAAGGTTACAGATCGTGGAGGGTCCTCACGTGGAGTAGCGATTTCTGCTGGGTCTTGCTTAGGCCTACGTATGCTTCCCGACGTGCTCGCAGGTCAGTTGCGTCGCTTGGCGGGTGCTGCTGTTCAAATGCCCGCGGGCATCAAGATCCGTGTTTGCTTTTGTTTTCCCCGCTTCCCTTCAGGATGGCCAGCACATGGATGAACCTAACGCCTCTACTTTGGCAGCTCTGGGCTCTGCAGTCACATCGCGCGGGTCGCCCTGGCTGGTCGGAGGAGATTAAAATTTCGACCCGCAGTTTTTGGGGCAGGCTGGTTTCGCGACCTTAGTTAGCTGGGGGGCAAGCATTATTTCTAGATGTAGTTGGGGCGTGTACGACCGCGGGTGGGCTGAAACTGGACGACTAGTTAGTGACTCGCAAGGGGCCCAGCTCGGCTGCGAGGGAGATCGTCATGGTTGCCGATTCGGATCTGACGCCGCACTCACCCGTTCGGATAACGCTTTTTCCGAGCTTGGGCGCCCCCAGTTTCTGTCCATCAGGAGGCCCCCAAGGATCCTCGTTGAAAGAATTGTGGGCCCCAAGATGTCGCCTCCGAATTGCGACTCGTTTTTCGGTGTTTGTTGCAAGATGGCGCCCAGATCGCCCTGTCGGGAGACGGGGTGCGCACCCGGGAGTTCCTGGACCAGGGATGCAAACAATGTACCAATGTGGCTGAAGTGGAGCTGGCTCGCGAAGCTGGCGTCGAGCTTCCCAAAAAGGGCCTTCGAAAGGAGTTGCCCCAGATGGTTTGGATCTCCGTCGCTGAACAAGACATGCAGCCTCCAAGGCACCCGTGCTTGTTCGCCATGCGCTGGCTGTGGCAGAGACCTTGGTGTTGCTCGGCCTGCTGGGGGATGCTAAGGAGCCACCCTTGGCCGAGGCCGCTGCGAGGGTCCCTTGGCCGATCCAGATCTATCTGCGAGGGTCTCGGGGCTTGCAAACCGGGCGCGAGCCCCAGCTCGAAAAGACATACGCCAGGATCTCAGGGCCCTTCGCTGGATAGGATCGGACGGGGCTGGGACGAGGATAAGTCTGTTCCAGAGCGTTCAGGGGCCCTCTCTTCTCAGAGTGTTCCGGAACGCTCTGGGAAGGCCGCGGCGCCCGATACATCCTCCAGAGTGGCCAGGCTCTCCACATTCTCCATTTCCCCACCCGATCTGATCCTCGTCCTGGCTTCGTCTTATATGGCGAGCTGACAACAGGAACCCATACCTATACGTCCCCTGGAACTCCTGGTGTGGAATTCTAGGGCGGGCTATGGGTGCGTGTTGTCGAGTGGGGGCCCTGGTCGAACAGGGACCCCCCGCCCGAGTCCGACCGACACTTCGCATTCGCCTGGCCCTTCCCCATGTCTTGCTCCTCGCTAGAGATTTGAGTGTCGGTTCTTCGTTGATCCCTATGGGGAGCAATGCATGCCGCCGCCGAGTTTCAGACGATCGCCGCGTTGTCCCAGGCTCGTGGCGGCGGGGTCCGCCCGGGCCGAGCCGCAGGCAGCGCGCGCGCGCGCGGCGGGGCGGGGCTGCCCCCACTGGGAGGGGCCCCGGCGGC